CATCCTCTCCAGCATCTGTTTTCTCCAGATTTTTTAATGATCGCCATTCTAACTAGTGTGAGATGGTATCTCAGTGTAGTTTTGATTTGTGTTTCTCTAATGACCAGTGGTGTTGAGCATTTTTTCATGTTTGTTGACCTCATGTATGTCTTCTTTTATGAAGTGTCTGTTCATGTCCTTTGCCCACTTTTGAATGGGCTTGTTTTTTTCTTTTAAATCTGTTTTAGTTCTTTGTAGTTCTGGATATCAGCCCCTCGTCAGATGGGTAGCTTGCAAAAGTTTTTTCCCATTCTGTTTGTTGTCGATTCACTCTAGTGACTGTTTCCTTTGCTGTGCAGAAGCTGTGGAGTTTGATTATGTCCCATTTGTCTATTTTGGCTTTTGTTGCCAATGCTTTTGGTGTTTTGGTTATGAAGTCCTTGCCTGTGCCTATGTCCTGAATGGTTTTGGCTAGAAAGGGTTTTTATGGTGTTAGGTCTTATGTTTAAGTCTTTAATCCATCTGGAGTTAATTTTAGTGTAAGGTGTCAGGAAGGGGTCCAGTTTCTGCTTTCTGCACATGGCTAGCCAGTTTTCCCAACACCATTTATTAAATGGAATCTTTTCCCCATTGCTTGTTTTCATCAGGTTTGTCAAAGATCAAATGGTTGTAGATGTGTGACATTGCCTCTGAAGCCTCTGTTCTGTTTCATTGGTCTATATATCTGTTTTGGTACCAGTACCATGCTGTTTTGATTACTGTAGCCTTGTAGTATACTTTGAAGTCAGGTAGTGTGATGCCTCCTGCTTTGTTCTTTTTGCTTAGAATTGACTTGGCTGTGTGGGCTCTCTTTTGGTTTCATGTGAAGTTTAAGGTGTTTTTTTCCAGTTTTGTGAAGAAAGTCATTGGTAACTTGATGGGGATAGCGTTTAATCTGTAAATTACTTTGGGCAGTATGGCCATTTTCACGATATTGATTCTTCCTAACCATGAACATGGAATGTTTCTTCATCTCTTTGTGTCCTCTCTTATTTCCTTGAGCAGTGGTTTGTAGTTCTTCTTGAAGAGGTCCTTTGCATTCTTTGTTAGTTGTATTCCTAGGTATTTTATTCTCTTTGTAGCAATTGTGAATGACAGTTTGTTCTTGATTTGGCTCTCTTTAAGTCTATTATTGGTGTATAGAAATGCTTGTGATTTTGCACATCGATTTTATATCCTGAGACTTGGCTGAAGTTGCTTATCAGTTTCAGGAGATTTTGGGCTGAGACGATGGGGTCTTCTAGATATACAATCATGTCGTCTGCAAATAGAGATAATTTGACTTCCTCCTTTCCTATTTCAATACCCTTTATTTGTTTTTCTTGCCTGATTGCTCTGGCTAGAACTTCCTGTACTATATTGAATAGGAGTGGTGAGAGAGGGCATCCTTGTCTAGTGCCAGATTTCAAAGGGAATGCTTCCAGTTTTTGCTCGTTCTGTATGATATTAGCTGTTGGTTTGTCATAAATAGCTTTTATTATTTTGAGCTACGTTCCGTCAGGACCTAGTTTATTGAGGGTTTTTAGCATAAAGGGCTGTTGAATTTTGTCAAAGGCCTTCTCTGCATCAATTGAGATAATCATGTGGTTTTTGTCATTGGTTCTGTTTATGTGGTGAATTATGTTTATAGACTTGAATATGTTGAACCAGGCTTGCACCCCCGGGATGAATCCTACCTGTTCATAGTGGATAAGCTTTTTGATGTGCTATTGCAGTCAGCTTGCCAGTATTTTATTGAATATTTTTGCGTCTATGTTCATCATGGATATTGGCCTGAAGTTTTCTTTTCTTGCTGAGTCTCTGCCGGGTTTTGGTATCAGGATGATGTTGGTCTCATAAAATGATTTGGAAAGGATTCCATCTTTTTTTGACTATTTGGAATAATTTCAGAAGGAATGGTACCAGCTCCTCTTTGTATGTCTGGTAGAATTCGGCTGTGAACCCATCCGGACCTGGGCTTTTTTTGGTTGGTAGACTCTTAATTGCTGCCTCAACTTCAGACCTTGTTACTGGTCTATTCAGGGTTTCGACTTCTTCCTGGTTTAGTCTTGGGAGGATGCAAGTGTCCAGGAATTTATCCATTTCGTCTAGGTTTACTAGTTTATGTGCATAGAGTTGTTTGTCATAATCTCTGATGATGGTTTGTATTTCTGTGGAATCTGTGGTGATATCCCCTTTATTGTTTTTTATTGCCTCTATTTGATTATTCTCTCTTTTCCTTTTTGATAATTTGGCTAGTGGTCTGTCTATTTTGTTGATCTTTTTGAAAAACCATCTCCTGGATTTATTGATTTTTTTTGAAGGATGTTTTGTGTCTCTATCTCCTTCCGTTCTGCTCTGATCTTAGTTATTTCTTCTCTTCTGCTAGGTTTTGAGTTTTTTTTATCTTGATCCTTTAACCCTTTCAGTTTTGATGATAAGGTGTCAATTTTAGATCTCTCCTTGCTTCTCATGTGGGCATTTATTGCTATATATTTTCCTCTGGAGACTGCTTTAAATGTGTCCCAGAGATTCTGGTATGTTGTGTCTTTGTTCTCATTGGTTTTGAAGAACATCTTTATTTCTGCCTTCATTTCATTGTTTATCCAGTCAACATTCAAGAGCCAGTTGTTCAGTCTTCGTGAAGCTGTGCGGTTCTGAGTTAGTTTCTGAATTCTGAGTTCTAACTTGATTGCTCTGTCGTCTGAGAGACTGTTTGTTATGATTTCCATTCTTTTGCATTTGCTGAGGAGTGATTTACTTCCAATTACATGGTTAATTTTGGAGTAGGTGCAGTGTGATGCTGAGAAGAATGTATATTCTGTGGATTTGCGGTGGAGAGTTCTGTAAATGTCTTATTAGGTTTGCTTGTTCCAGGTCTGAGTTCAAGTCCTGGATATCCTTGTTAATTTTCTGTCTCGTTGATCTGTCTGATATTGACAATGGGGTGTTAAAGTCTCCCACTATTATTGTATGGGAGTGTAAGTCTCTATGTAAGTCATTAAGAACTTGCCTTATGTATCTGTGTGCTCATGTATTGGGTGCGTATATATTTAGGATCGTTAGCTCTTCTTGTTGCATTGATCCTTTTACCGTTATGTACTGTCGTTCTTTGTCTCTCTTGATCTTTGTTGGTTTAAAGTCTATTTTATCAGATACAAGAATTGTAACTCCTGCTTTTTTTTGCTCTCCATTTGCTTGGTAAGAAACAACTCTTTAAAGTAGATAGGGAACAGGAATTTTACAGAGTCAGTGTTACTATTTTAGAGTTGAGGAAACTTGAGGATCTCTGAGTGCACAGTCATAAATTTACAACTCTCACTTCACTTGCATTGCTTTACTTAACCACACCATGCTAATTCAAAGGTGTACACAAAAGTAAACTTTAGTAGAGGTTTATATCCTTACCAAAACAGTGGTACAATGTATTTTTTAATGTGTATCTTAGTTTTGGGTGCTACCAAAAGGATTAATGGTGCTGTAGATGCACAGAGGAGGATGAGATTGACTTTGGCTGGGAGAGTCAGAGGTTTCATTTTGTTTAGAAAATGTGTACTATTTTCTTACTTGGTAATTTTTTTTGCCTCTTTTTGGTTGCCCCATACATTTAAAGTACTACATGTGCAGCTTTAAATAAACCTTTTTTATTTTATACACAGGACCCACATGTTTGTTTCTACTAGCATATTTTATTCTTGCATTGCCACCCAACTCAGCAGAGATGAATTAGTAATAGTAGCTAACATGTAATGAGCAATACTGGCACTGTGGTCGAGGATTTGTAAAAAATTAACTTAATACTGAAATCAACTTTCTGAGGTGGAAACATTCTTTCATAAATTGGTATTTTCTTTTCATTCCATTCACATACTTGTCATTCCCACACCTGATCGAGAAACTGTAGAACTGTATGAAATAAAAGGTAATTATAAGGCATTATAGGCTGGATGCATTGGCTCACACTTGTAATTCCAGCACCTTGGGAGGCCGAGGTGTGTGGATCACCAGAGGTCCGGAGTTTGAGACCAGCCTGGCCAACATGCCGAAACACCATCTCTACTAAAATTACCAAAAAAAATTAGTTTGGCGTGGTGGCATGTGCCTGTAATCCCACCTACTAAGGAGGCTGAAGCAGGAGGGTTGCTTAATCCTGGGAGGTCGGGGTTGCAGCGAGCCCAGATTGTGTAAGACACTGTCTCAAAAAAAAAAAAAGGATTGTATTTCAGGATAATGTTAAGCCATGCAAATAGATGTTTTTTGGGATTATTGTGCATTATTTATTATATTTTTCCCCAAGTGAAGAACCCAAGCTGGTATATACACTAATCTGAGCCATGAGTTGTGAGTTATATCACATGAGTGAATAAAGTAATAATATCTTACATGTGTTTTTATGATTACAGTAACAGTATGTAGTAATCTTGAGTGGTTTTGCATTTTAAGAATGATTTTATATACTAAAAAAAGTCTAATCAATAAAGAGATGTTTATTTAAACAACTTAGGAATGCAAGATGTCCATAAAACTTAATCCTTTGTTTAGTGACTTTTCACTGTTGTATTTTTTTTGTTGTGATGAGTTATGTTGCTTACTGTGGAAATGGTAATAAAGCTTTGTGTTTATATAACATCTTTCATCTTAGGATCTCAAAGTGCTTTCAGCCATCTAATGAATCATCATAGTAGTTTAGTGAGTAGGTAAGTGACAAGTATTATTATCTTCATTTTACAGGTGGAGACAGAAATTAAGCCACAAAGTGGATTGAATGATTTATGTATATAGTTCCATCATCTAAATACATAGGCAGTCTGATCTACTGAAGTAAGAATACTGTATTTTAGAAAGACTGACAAAGTGTAAGCCATTAACCCCTTAGTTTTTGTACTTCACGCAGATCATTAGCAAAAAATTATTAGCTTTAAAACACGCACATGGAATTTTTAAAAAATTCTTTCTTTAGGTGTAGAGAACATTATAATACTTTTTTTTTTCTTCCTTTTTAGGTCAGCAGCAAGGACAAGATGGAGTAAAAGTCCAGCAAGCTACTATAGCTCCTGTAACTGTAGCAGTTGGAGGAATTGCTAATGCCACGATAGGTGCTGTTAGTCCTGACCAACTCACACAAGTGCATTTGCAGCAAGGCCAGCAAACTTCTGATCAAGAGGTACAGCCTGGCAAGAGGCTTCGAAGAGTTGCCTGTTCCTGTCCCAATTGTAGGGAAGGAGAAGGAAGGTAAATGCTCTTATTTTTCAACTGAGTCAATTTGGAAGACATAAAACAGGGGTTAAAACCAAGTAATTGACTGGGAATGATGGTCACTGGAACCTCACTACCTTTGTAGCCTAGAAGTTGATATATAACGTTAGGAAGGGAATTAAGTTGGGCTGTTTCAGGAATGAAATTTTAGTGGTCCTTTGCCTTGTTTCTTACACTTTTTAAAAATGTTTTTTCTTTGTTTTTTTTCTTTTTTTCCTTTCCGCCCCTGAGACAGCGTGTTACTCTGCTGCCTAGGCTGGAGTTCAGTGGCACAATCTCGGCTTACTGTGACCTCCACCTCCTCGGTTGAAGCGATTCTCCTGCCTCAGCCTCCCGAGTAGCTGGGATTAATTATAGGCACATGCCACTGTGCCCAGCTGATTTTTGTATTTTTAGTAGAGATGAGGTTTCATCATGTTGGCCAGGCTAGTCTTGAACTCCTAACCTCAGGTGATCCACCAACTTCAGCCCCACAAAGTGCTGAGATTACAGGTGTGAGCCCCTGTGCCCAACCCCTTTTTTCTTTTTCATAAAATTTTTACATACCTTTATTGATACAAAATTAATTCATATACCATACAGTTTACCCATTTAAAGTATACAGTTCAGCATTTTTTAATATATTCAGAGCTGTGTAGACATGACCAATCAATTTTAGAATGTTTTCATCATCCCCAGAATAAATTCTGTATCTTTTAAGCATCACCCCCTTATCCTCCCAACCCTTCCATCTTAGGCATCTAATTTCTGTCTCTATAGATTTGCCTATTATGGACAATTCATTTAAATCGTGTGGTTCTTTGTAACTGGTTTCTTTTAGCATAATATTTTCAAGGTTCAGCTGTATTACAGGGTGATCAGTACTTTATTCGTTTTTAGGAACAAATAATATTCCACTGTATAGATATACAGTATTTGGTTTATCCTGTCACTTGAAGGACATTTGTTTTTTTCCCACTTACTAATTATGAATAATACTGTAGTAAACATTTGTGTAGAAGTGTTTGTGTAGATATGTTTTCATTTCTCTTGTATTTATATGGAATTACCTAGAAATGGAATTTCTGGGTCCTGCTGTATGTTTAACCATTTGAGGAAGTTACAGACTGTTTTCCAAAGTGGCTATACCATTTAACATTTCTATCAATAGTGTTTGAGGGTTCCAGTTTCTCTAGATCATTGCCAGTACTTGTCATAATCTGACTTTATGATTAAAGCCATTCTGGTGGGTTTGAAGTGATATCTCACTGCAGTTTTGGTTTACATTTTTCTGATTGTTAATGATATTGAGCATCTTTTCTTGTTCTTATTGTATATGGATGTATCTTTGGAGAAGTATTTATTTGGCTCTTTTGCCCATTTTGAATTACATATATTTTTTTTATTATGGAATTGTCTCTTTATATATTCTAGATACAAGTTCCTTATCAGATACAGGATTTGCAAATATTGTCTCCTATTGTGTGAATTGTCTTGATACTTTGTTGATAGTGCCTTTGAAGCACCAGAGTTTTAATTTTGAAGTCTAATGTTTTCTATTTTTCTTTATTGCTTCTGCTTTTGGTATTGTATCTAAGAATCCATTGTCAAATCCAAAGTCATGAAGATTCCTAGTTTTTTAAAGATAATTTTACAGTTTTTACTCTTACATTTAGGTCTTTGGTTAATTTGGGGCTAATTTTTATATGTGGTGTTAGGTAAGTGTTCATCAGGCACCATTTGTTGAAAAGACTACTGTTTCTCCATTGAATGGTCTTGGCACCCATGTCAAAAATCACTTGACCATAGACACATGGATTTATTTCTGGACTCTCAGTTATATTCTATTGATGTATATGTCTGTCTTTATATCAGTGCCACACTGTGGCTTGAGTACTTTGGCTTTGTAATAACTTTTGAAATTGAGAAATGTGAGTCCTCCAACTTTGTTGTTCTTGATTGACTCTTTAGAGACACTTGCAATTCCATGTGAATTTTAGAATCAGTTTGTCAGTTTCTACAAAGAAGCCAGATGGTATTCTGATGGAAGTTGAGTTGAATCTGTAGATCACTTTGGAGACTGTTGCCAACTTAACAATATTACATCTTTTGGTCCATGCACATGGAAAGTTTCTCTGGGTATTTAATCTTTAACTTCTTTCATCAGTATTTTATAGTTTTCAAAGTTTTACACTTTGTTAAATTCCAATTTTATTTTTGATGCTATTGTAAATTGAACTGTTTTCTTGATTGTTCATTACAAGTATGTGGAAATACATTGATATTTTAAATAATGTATTCATCTTGTATCCTGCAACTTTTGCTCAACTTTTTGATTAGTTATAATTGCTTTTTTTATTTTGTTTTGTTTTAGTGAAGTCTTTAAGATTTCTACGTATAAGATCATGGAATCTGTGAACAGAGATAGTTTTTACTTTTTCCTTTCTACTCTGCAGGAGTTCTATTTCTTTTTCTTACCTAATTTCCCTTTCTGGAACCTTTAGTACGGTGTTGGCAGTGTGCTTGTATTTTGTTGAGAATTTTTGCATCCATATTCATAAGAGATTTGTCTGTGGTTTTCTGTTTTTTGTAATGTTTTTATCTGGTTTTGGTAATGATAATACTGGCCTCATAAAATGAATTTGAAAGTATTTCCTCCAAACTGGTATTACTTCTTTAAATGTTTTATGAAATTTACCAGTGAAGCTGTCCGTTCTTGGGCTTTTCTTGTGAGTAGTTTTAATTACTAATTCAGTCTAGTTACTTGTTGTAAATTTATTCTGATTGACTCTTTGCTCTTGAGTCAGTTTTAGTATTTTGGTCAGTATTTTTCTGATAATTCATCTGTCTCATCTGAGTTACCCAAGTAATTGGCATAGAATTGTTCATGGTATTCTTTTGTAATCCTTTTTATTTCTGTAAGGTTGGTAGTGTTATCTCCTCTTTGATTTCTGATTCTAATAATTTGATTCATATTTTCTTGGTCAGTCTAGCTAAAGGTTTGTTAGCTTTGTTTACGTTTCCCAAGAATCCCAGTGTTTGACATTTATTTTGACCCTAAGAGGGTTCTTTACAGCCTCTTGGCTCACGTCTGTCTGGCAAACCAGCCAGCCTGTAATTAAGCTTTTCTTTCCAATAAATCTGTTAGTCTTCTCCCAATTATTTGTCTTTTGAAACAATATCTACTTTTTTTGAGAGTACCCTTAGGTTTGGACTTCTTCACATTGTCTTACAAATGAAGTCAGTTCGTTTGGGAAGAGATTTGGAGCTGTTTGTTTCATGGTGTGTTTCTGAGTCACAGCTTTTGAACTATGAGTTGAGACAGTGGCTCATTTCTGAGTGACAACCCTGCTTTAAGAACTGAGTCCTTGGTTGCAGAGGCAGCGGTAGTCTCAGGTCTCCTTAGCTGGCCCCTCTTGGCTTAGAACTTGGACTTTATGAACTCTGAATGGGCCAGGTCAGGGGCAGTGTAGACCCCAGCATTTTCATCATGCCACATCCAAGGAAGAGCCTGTGTCCCAGGGTTAAGGACTTGGTTCCGCTATGCTTGCCTAGAACTTAGCAACAGGTAACCAGGGGTAAGAGGAGAAATACAGACATCTTGCCCTTCTTGGAGCCATCGCCCTCTGACTAGGAGGTGGGAAGAATAGGAATCATATTCTTGGCTGCACCAGTCTCTAATGTTCTTGTGTCCGTGGAGGTGGGAGGAAGTAGGGAAGGAATGAGTCTTGGTTTATATACCACAGACTCTTACTGTTCTTACCAAGTTCTGTGAAATTTTCTTGAATAAATGTTTGTTTATTTGCTGTTGTTTGCTTTTGGGACCATATCCAGAGACTTTAAATAGTATTTTTTTAAATAATTTTCACCAGTTTCACTGTGAAACAGATCCATGGAGCTCACACTGTCTTGATGGAAACGAAACTCTGCACCTTAACACTTTTAACTGGATTTAGCCATCTTTTTGAAGTTTTAGAGAAGTTTCAAATGTTTTGAAAGGTTTAGAGAAATTTTTTTCCTCAAGTGAAGAGCCCACTATGGAAGGAACATGCAGTTCATAGTAGAACATAGACTGCCTGAGATTAACACATTTTCATAGCAATTTGGTACGCAGATCTGTTTTATTTTTTCTTTAATTGAAATTTTTCTGGTTTTAACTACAGTTATGGCATCATGATCAAACGTATTCAAGCCGGGCGCAGTGGCTTAAGCCTGTAATCCCAGCACTTTGGGAGGCTGAGGCGGGTGGATCACGAGGTCAAGAGATCGAGACCAGCCTGGTCAACATGGTGAAACCCCATCTCTACTAAAAATACTAAACATTTGCCGGGCATTTGCACTCCAGCCTGGGTTGCAAGAGCAAAAAAAACTCCGTCTCAAAAAAAAAAAACAAAACAACAAAAACGTATTCAGAGAAGCACTGAATAAGTTCTTTTTGTGTTTACATGATACATGTAAATACAAAATACTTTTCCTTTTTGTATTTACATATATTTAATTACCTGCTTTTTAATTTTTCTATTATAAGCCTACTATTTGGCAGTGTTATTAATGTTTGGTTTTTGTTTTTGCTAGAGGCAGTAATGAACCAGGAAAAAAGAAACAACATATCTGTCATATTGAAGGATGTGGTAAAGTTTATGGCAAAACATCTCACTTACGAGCACATCTTCGCTGGCATACTGGAGAAAGACCTTTTATATGCAACTGGATGTTTTGTGGCAAAAGATTCACCAGGAGTGATGAGCTTCAGAGACATAGAAGAACCCATACAGGTTAGTTGGTTTATTTTAGAACATGCACTTTTTACTTATTTCTTCAGTGTTTCTATGAAAGTTTTAGTCATAGTTTAGCTATCAGATTGGAAATAATGCAAATGTAGGAGAAGTATTTACTTTAGCAATTATATGGAAGATATTTAAGGTTAACATTTTTAACCTCATTTCTGGGATACATTTTATTTTGCTTTTTGTAAACTTTATCAGCATATTTATGAGACCTGGAATTTATTCCATTGTTTGTATTGTATTCTTAGCATGTTGAAGTCATATATTATTTTTCATAAGTGATTAAATCGATGAAAAGAGTTGAATTATGATCTTAATGAGATCCTTCATTAGTGTGTTTTAGGTTTGTTTGTTTTTTTTTTTGACAAGTTGGGAAAATTCACCAAAATATCAAGAATAATATGATAAACATCTGTCTAACAACCCTCACTCCAAATGGGCAGTTGTTAATACTATATTTTCTGCTTTTTTTTAAAATAAAGAAAAGCATTTAAAAAGTGAATATCATCTTTACTCTTTACCCTTTCACCTTTCAAAGACAGCAGCGACTATAAATCTAATGTATCTAAGTTTTATGTACACTTCTAATGCTCTTGCATGTATTATTAATGGATCTACATATAAAATGTTTTGTGTATGTTGTGAAATGTTACAGTGTTGCAAAATTATAAATTTTACTTAGGTTTTGAGATCTATAAGTTTGTGCATATATATATATATATATATATATATATATATATATATATTTGCATATATGTGTTTCCTTGAACTGCTATATAATATTCTATCACATGAGTCTACAATACTATATTAATTCATTCCCATACTGTTTGAGGTTATTGCTAGGATTTTTTTGTGTCTGTGCTGTCACAAACTTAGTTGATGAGAACTTGTGTGAGAAGTGAAATTGCTGGATCATAGAGAATGTACGTGTTTGATTTCGCTAGGTAATGGCTAAAGAGTCACTACGGTGGCTATTATAATCTCTCCTTCACTAGCAATGACTGATAGTTTCCATTTTGTACTCACTGGTATTCAGTAGTGTCAGGCCGTGAACGTTTTTGTCAATCTGTAATTGTTTATCATTTTTCAAATGTGCATTTTTTGTGGTTATTCATGAGATTAAGCATCTTTTCATGTGTATATTGGTCATTTATGTCTTGGTTTATTATTCTGGTTCTCTCTCTTTTTTTTTTTTTCAGAAACTTTCCTTTTTGCATTTACATGATTTATATGTTACAGTTTTCCCTTTCAATAAAGGGCTTTTGCTAGTCTTTAAGCTTTGTCGTACCTGTTCTCATGTGGAAGTCTTACATTTTTAATTAGTCAAATATAAATCTTTTTTTTTTTTTGTCTTTTGCTTTTGGTTTATAAATTTTTCTTCTGCCCCATGGTCATCATGTCTTACAAAATAATTTCTTCTAATAGCTTTAAAGTTTTCTTTTTGTAAGTTTCATCCTTTATCAGCTCAAGATTCTTTTTGTTGATGGAATGAAATGAGGATATAATTTCATTTTTCTAATACGTGGAAAGCCATTTCTTGAATAGCCCATTCTGTCTCTATTGATTGTCCTCTTTTACATAATGTCTCCTTTAAGTGTGGTTCAGTTTCTGGGTTCTCTGTTTTGAAGCTTTTATCTGTTTGCCAGTTTCTACACCAGTGCCCTTACTATGTTAATGACTGTGGGTTTGCATCAGGTCTTGACTTCTGGTTGGGGGATCAACCTACCTCTCTCCCCTCCCTTTCTCTCCCTCCCCTCCCTTCCCCCCTTCACCTCCCCTCCCCCATTTACCTCCCCCCTTCCCTTCCCCTCTCTCCTTTCCCTTCCCCTCCCTCACTTTCCCTCTCCTCCCCTTCCCTCTCCTTCCTTTTTTCCTTCCTTTTTTTTCTTCCTTCCTTTTTTCCTTCCTTCCTTTTTCACTTTCTTTCCTTCTCTTCTCTTTCTTTCCCCAGAACACTCACCCTATTTAGAATATTTAGAATTTGGGACTCAGTATTTCATTATTGAATAAATTTATTTAAATAAATTATTGAATTATACTTTACACTTTAAACCTGTGCCAAGATACATGTGGGACAAAAGGAGAAATAAAACTGACATTTCTTTCTTCTTTTTTTTGCAATGTCAATTCACTTTATTTTTCTTGTATAAAAACCCTATGTTGTAGCCACACCTGGAGCTTGGGTCCTCTGCATGGAAACTCTGGTGTGGGTCTTGACGAGGTGGTCAGTGAATTCCTGATAGGGAGACTTGGTGAATACAGTCTCCTTCTAGAGATTGGGGGTCAGGTACCTGTAAGTCTTAGAGATGGCATCAAAGGTGGCCTTGGCGAAGTTGCCCAAGGTGGCAGCGTAGCCCCTAGCTGAGGTGTAGCAGTCATCGAAACCAGCCATCATGAGCAGCTTCTTGGGCACAGGTGCTGAGAAAATGCCAGTGCCCCTGGGAGTGGGTATGAGGCGCACCAGCACAGAGCCACAGCGGCCTGTCACTTTGCAAGGGACAGTGTGGGGCTTGCTGATCTAGTTCCCCTAGTAGCCTCTGCGCACGGGGACAATGGAGAGCTTGGCCAGGATGATGGCCCCACAGATGGCAGTGGCTACCTCCTTGGGACACTTACACCCAGACCGACTTTACCATTGTAGTCCCCAATAGCAACAAATGCCTTGAACCTGGTGCGCTGGCCAGCATGGGTCTGCTTCTGCACCGGCATAATCTTCAAAACCTTATCCTTGAGAGAGGCCCCCAGGAAAAAGTCAAAAATCTCAGATTCCTTAATGGGCAGAGAGAAGAGATAGATCTCCTCCAGAGATTTAATCTTCATGTCTTTGACCAGGCGGCCCAACTTGGTGACAGGCTTTGCCTCCGCGAGCTCCGCGGCCTCGGCGCCGGCCCCGGCCCTGTCCACAGCCGCAAACCTGGCCCCGGATACCACTGCTGAAACCTCCATGGAAGCCATCTCGGTTCCCCACCCCAGGGCCCCTGGGGCCTCCGCCATTATGTGTTTTATTGGAGAAGAAAGCAAAACTGACATTTCTAAATCAGCTGCTATATTGTCAGATATTTTGAATGTGACTTTATTTGATTCTAACAGCAGCACTGGCATAGAAATTAGCTCCATTTTAAGATTAGAAAGTAGTATCTGCAAGGAAAAAATTATGAAATCTATTAAAAGTGATAAAGTTCTTTTTTTTCTTTCTTTCTTTCTTTCTTTTTTTTTTTTTTTTTTTTTTGTGAGACGGAGTTTCGCTCTTGTTACCCAGGCTGGAGTGCAATGGTGCGATCTCGGCTCACCGCAACCTCCGCCTCCTGGGTTCAGGCAATTCTCCTGCCTCAGCCTCCTGAGTAGCTGGGATTACAGGCACGCGCCACCATGCCCAGCTAATTTTTTGTATTTTTAGTAGAGACGGGGTTTCATCTTGTTGACCAGGATTGTCTCGATCTCTTGCCCTCGTGATCCACCCGCCTCGGCCTCCCAAAGTGCTGGGATTACAGGCTTGAGCCACCATGCCCGGCCGATAAAGTTCTTTAATTTGATAAACACATAAAGTAGTAATACAAATGAGTATAGATTGAGTACCCCTTATCTGAAATGCTTGGGAAGAGAAAGATTCTGGATTTTGGATTATTTAAATTTTGCATGTACACAATGCAGTACTTTGGGGGTGAAACCCAAGCGTGAACATGAAATTCATTTGTTTCATATGTGCTTTATACATATAGACTGAAAGTAATCTTATACAATATTTTTAGTAATTTTTGCGTGAAACAATTCGTGTTAAGCACTTATGTGTGGATTTTTCTATTCTCAAATAATGTCAACACTCAAAAGTTTCAGATTTGGAGCAATTTGGATTTTAGATTTTTGTTTTAGGTATACTCACCCTGTGTTAGTATAGCATCACAATCCCTGAAAAAGTTAGCATTATACTAAAGCTGTGAATTTTAATTATAAATAATAATAATTTGAAAGATTTCTGTATAGTATTATACCATACCATTGATGTTGGCAAATTTGATTGATTAAAAGTTAATTGCATATCAATTGTTGATAACTGTTTTTGAAAAATACTCTGCTATTTATGTCTGTATGAAAAGATGCAGTATTTCCACCCTGGATTAGCAGTGGGATAAGTTAGGGAAGCCAAGAAAAATTGCTGCTTTGTTTGGTTTGGAACCATGACTGCATCATTTTGTCTGAGAAATGATGAGTTTGTAAAGTCCCTCTTTCTTACACATCCACACACTTGTAGATACAAAAAACAAATTTATTCAAGAATTTATATATACATATACTCCAAAACCAAATATTAATGATTTAGGGCATGTTTTTAAGAAAAAAAGATTCACACCATTATTATCATCTATTGGATTCACAACTCATAATCCAATATACTTTAAGCTTACTTCCAGTGGTTCAAACATCTTAAATATATCACACATAAAATTGTTTAATTCAAACATGTTGACACGAAAAATACTGTTTAATATCACTATACCTAAAATTGTTACTTTTAAAGATTTAACATAGTAACTCCTGTTTGTTAAATTTGTCCAAAGGAATATAAAAAAATATATTTTGAAAAAAGTATGGATTAATCATTTAATAAGTTGAAAACCTTGACCATTCATAGCAAGAACTATGCTTTATTTAATGTCTAACCACTACTATAAATAGAAACTTGTTTACTTGGCTGTGAATAAATGGAGTTACTTTTATTCACCGCCGAAAATAATGATCTGTTAGCTTTTTAAAGGAAATGTAAAAGGTTTTCAAAACAATACGTGAATATGGTATTTAAAAGTGAAATCACAGAATAGCTTACTGTAATAAGGAGGCTCTTTGCCCCACCCTCTGTCCTGCTCCCCAGAGAAAATCTTAGCTGTTTTAACTATTTTTGATTTTTGATCTTTCTAGGATGATTGCCATGTATCTAAATCATATACTAGAACACTGTTACTTATCTATCAATATTAGATACTATCTTT